CCCAAGGGCCCCCCACGAAGGGGCCCGGGGAAAAGTGGCCGGGGGCCTTAATTGGCCGGCGCCAATAACCGGGGGGGGGGCACGAGGTGGGGGCGCGAAAAAGCGGCGGGGGGCCCGAGCGGGGGGCGCGAATTAGCGGGGGGGGCACGAGCGGCGGAGGGAAAGAGCGGTGGGGGGGCGCCCAGGGCCTCACCCATGTCCCAGGGCGGGTGGGGCGTCAGGCGGGCCCGAGGGGTAGGGCGGCCCCAGCACCGGGCCCAGCAGGCCCGGGGAGTGCGCCCGCGACGGGTTGCGGCTGGCCTCCGACTGCTCCTTCCACAGCAGCACGCGGTTCTGGAGCGTCCCCCTGGCCTGGTGGGTGAGAACACGTGGTCACCCGGGTCCGAGCGCCCCCCAGGATCCTGGAGACGCAGAGCTCTGGTAGCTGCCGGGAGCTAAAGATCACGCTGGTGTCACGTTGAGTCCCCCCACGGTCCAAGCACCCCCACTTTTGTCAAAGGCCCCTCAGGCCCCCTGCCGCTCTCTGTGTGCTCTGGGCGGAGTTCTCCCACTGCCCCGGCGGCAGGAGGGCAGCGCCCAGGCTGGCCACTCAGGGTGCTCTGTCCTCCTGGCCACAGGGATGGCACTTACCCCAAAACTGTGACCAAAGAATTCAACCCCAGGGCTCACCCTGGAACAACCTGGAGACATGTATCCTTTTGCCTCGTGGGGTTTGCTGACAGGTAGAGTGGAGCCAACACAGGAAACTACAGCTCGGCAGCAGACAAAGGCGAATTTCTGAGGACGGGCTGTGCTCCTGGGCCCAGCTATACCCGAACCCCTGAACTTCCCAGTCACTAAATAAGCACCTTCCTGTTTGAGCCGTGGGAGCAGGGTTCTAAAGAGGCCTTTCAAACACCGTTCCCAGGGCATCCCTGTAGTCACATGGCACCCCTTTTCCAGGGTCCCCAGTACAGGGGCATTGAGCTCTGCCTGACACTTTCTAGGACACACACTCAGCAGCTGACCACAACAGCTCGGGGTCGGAGGGCTTTCAATGTTAGACCTGCAATGTATATTGATCATGTTTTAAATTTTCTGTATTTTATGATTCTTTGACATCCCGAGAGCTTGCTATTCCTGGAGAGGCAGCCCCTCCCGTGGTGTAGATAATCCCTAGGGATCCTAAACAACTTGCCCCTGAACAGGCCTTTTGTATGCAAACCAACAATCCAAAGCTGCATCCCCAACCACTTCCTTTAACTCACCCATCAAGCCAATATTTCCCCTGCCCTAAATCACCCCAGAGCCAGGTACCAGACAGACAGACACCACCCTATGCCACAGAGCCCACAAACTACTCAATCCCAAACCTGCTTCAAGTTACCTCTCCTGGTTTGCCCCCTCCTTCCATGGGAACCATAGTACATTTCTGGGCCGTGATTTCCTCTCGCTCCCTCTGCCTCTTGACCAACCCCTGGTGCCTCCCCAGGTGGCCCTGGGTGGCATGGCGTGACCCTTGTTTTGGGAACTGTGATATGTAAGAAAACTGTCTTCAATGGCATTAATCTGTCTGTGCTGTCACCCAGTCACCTCTATAAATTAAATCAATCAAAACACTGTTCTCCAATTTGAAATTTTTCACTTATTCTTTTTTAAATGTTTTTATTGATTTCAGAGAGAGAGGGAGAAAGAGATAGAAACATCAATGATGAGAGAGAATCATTGATCAGCTGCCTCCTGCAGCCCCCACCCCCACCCCCCCCCGCCACTGGGGATTGAGCCCACAACCGGGGCCTGTGCCCTGACCAGGAATCGAACTGTGACCTCCTGGTTCATGGATCTATGCTCAGCCCCTGAGCCCTGCCAGACGAACTCCTCTCTTTATTCAAGCGTTCCGTCCCCTAGGGATCGGCCAAGCTCCAGACTGTCACCTGAGGAGTAATGAAAGCTTCCTTTTGTTGAATATGTACTCTGCCAGGCCTAGTGTTAAAGGCTTCGCCTGCATTATTCCTACTTGATTCTCACAATGGCTCTGGGAGGTATGTGCGAGTCTGTCTCCATCCTATAGAGAAAGATGCTGAGGGTCAGAGCAGTTGGCCATGGCTCCAGGCCTGGCGTCCCGGCAGCAGGGAAGTGGCCGGCACCAGCCTGGAGGGGGCTTGCTGCCCTCCGGTGACCACTGCCTTCGCCCTGGCCCAGCTGCTGGGAACCTCAGGTGCTCTCCGGCAGAAAACAGGCTCAGAGCCTCATGTCACAGGAGCAGCTGGGAGCTGGTCACGAGGGGCGGTCTCCCTTGCATAGTCATTAGCGAACCCCACACAACAAAGGTCTCTGTGAGCTTGTTTCGGAGGCAGTGAGCACAGCGAGGCCAGGAGGTCCTGCAGACCACATTTTTAAAAGTTTTTGTTGTTGTCTAGTTTGACACTGTTCAGTGGAGAGCGCCTGCCAGGGCAGCAGGGGCTCCTGGAGTGATGGCCACCACACGTCCCAGCCCGGGCAGCACTCAGCATCGCTGGCTTCCCCAGCCCTGCCTCCGGCCAGCATCGCTCCCGGCTGGGAAGGAACCCGTACAGTCCTTCAAGCCACAGAGGATCATGGGAGAATGTAAAAAACACTTCTTTTTACCTTTCTGATGAGCAAAGATCAGAAAGTTGGCTCACACTGTTGTCCAGGAAGCAGGGGCTCGCACACATTGCTGGCGGAAGTGTGACTTGGTATAACCAATGCCTACATCTGTGGACTCTCAAACTCCATTCCTGGGGATTCACCCTGGAACTGTGCTTGCATAGTGCGACCCACTGGGAGGTGCTATTGAGGAGACCCGGACCAAGCAAGGACTGATGGCTGCGGAAGGCGAGAAGGATGCCTCCCTGTGCCAGGAGTCACAGTTCTCTGTTCACCATAGTAACAGGTAAATGTCTATGGTTAACTAGCTGAGGAGTCAGATCTTGTATGTCCTCAAGCCCAGCTGGGCCAGACAACATGCTGCCCATTCCCCACACCTCGGGGAGTCAGGCTCAACCAGCCCAGGCCCCGGCTGGGAGACCACCCCGCAGGAGGCAGCCAGGGAGGGGTCCGCTGGAGGTTAACTGTTAGGACACAGGCAGAAAGGAGTTTCCTCCCAAAGAAGACATATGGTGGCCAATAAGCACATGGAGAGATACTCAGCATCACTAGTCATCCGGGAAATGCAAGTCCAAACCACAACGCGACAGCCCTTCACACTCACTAGGGCGACACTAGTGTGTGCTCAGCTGCTTGAACGTCAACCCATGAACCAGGAAGTCAAGGTTCAATTCCCAGTCGGGGCACATGCCCGGGTTGCAGGCTCGATCCCCAGTGCAGGAGGCAGCCAATCAATGATTCTCTCTCATCATTGATGATTCTATCTCTCCCTCCCTCCCTCCCTCTCCTTTCTACTCTGAAATCAATAAAAATATATTTTTTAAAAAGATGATAGGTAAATATATGTGATTATGAGGGTCACAAAGTGAGGTCATCATGAGTAGAGATGAGAACAGTAGAATTTCCAAATTAATAAAGGGGAAGGGAAATGTACAGTAACTCAACCAAATGACATAAACAAGAATGGGAGAAAAAGAAGAAATGACAAAGTAAATACAGTTAAGTGAACTTATCTGAAAACAATAAAACAGGTATATCAGTTGTCAGGTTAAGAGGAATAGACCGAACTCCTCTATGAGAAGACAGATGTCAGACGGGTCAAGCATAAAAACTGAGCTATATGTTAGTAACAGAGAACACACCTAAAACGAACAGATGAGCCCAGCCGGCGTGGCTCAGTGGTTGAGCATTGACCTATGAACCAGGAGGTCAGGGTTCGATTCCCGGTCAGAGCACATGCCCGGGTTGTGGGCTCAAACCCCCTGTGTGGGGCATACAGGAGGCAGCTGATCAATGATTCTCTCTCATCATAGATGTTTCTATCTCTCTCTCCCTCTCCCTTTCTCTCTGAAATCAATAAAAAAAAATATTTTTAAAAAATGGATGAGAGAAGAGAAAGTAGGAAGGGCAATATTAATTTCAGACAAAGTGGAATTAAAAGTTTTAGACTGGATGATGAGAGACAGTGAGAACCTAAATGACAACACTAACCCAGAAGGTATAACACTCATAAACCCAACAGCACTGACCAACGTGACAGCAAAATACAGAAAGCGAAACCCATTAGACACAATGAGAAATGAAGAAAAACCTGATTGGTCTTAGCAAATAGCAAAGCATAGAGGGTTTAAAGTAGCGGATAAAATTAACAGACAATAACTGAACAAACCTATGAATCAATGAATTTGTGAATGGGAAGTATATGCAAGCAGGAATGAAAAAGTAACTGGTTCATACACTAATGAATAAATGCATGAATTAGTGAATGATGTGAGAATAAACAAAACCATGAGTGAATAAATGCATGAATATCTGATGGTACAAACAGACACAGAAATGAGTGAAAAAGAAATAGATGGAGAGAGAAAATAAATAAAATAGCTACCGAGGAAGAGAGAAGGCAAAGGAGGAAGGAGGGCGGTTCCTCTGTGCAGCCAGCGCGAGAGCACAGCCCTAGGGCTCCAGTGCTGTCCCAGCCCAGCTCACCCTCCCAGCCCAGCTCCCCCTCCCAGCCCAGCTCACCCTCCCAGCCCAGCTCACCCGACCGAAAAACTGCAGAAACGTATTGGAAAGCAGCAGGTGCTTCTCGGCCAGGAACCGGTAGCGCCGCTTCTCCTCCAGCTCAGCGGCCCGCTGGCTCTCAGACACGAAGGTCTGCATCTGTGCGTGCAGCCGGTTCACACTCTCCTGGGGGGAAGGGGGGTCTGGGCTGAGGCAGGGGGTGGGTGCCTCCTCCCACCCACCTGGAGCGCCAGCTCTCTGAGCCTCCTCTCGGGGGCCTCCCCTGAACACCCAGCCCGTCCTAGCTCCCGGGCCTGCCCTGTCACAGGCAGCTTCGTCCTCCTGAGCCTGGGCTCCGTGCCCCCCCAGACAGCCCTCTGTCCCCAGCACCCAGCTCAGGGCCCAGCACGGAGGTGGTGCCCAGGGAGACTGGTTTAATGAAAGTGCAGATGAGTTGATCAATAACCCTCTACTTGGGAGGGACGATTCTGAAAAGAGAGGAGTTTATGAGAGGAGCCAGAGGAGGAGACAGAGGAGACGAAGGTCCTGGAGAAAGAGTCCAGGGCTGGGGAGGAGGGGCTGGGGGGGGGGGCGGTGCTGGCCTTAGCCAGGGGAGGAAAGCCCTGCCTGGGCAGGCGGGAGGGGAAGGAGGGTGGGTTACACCTTTGCTAGTGGGTTCAGGAGCGCATGACCAGTGGTCTCTGGTTTGCTCAGTGAAGTGGGGGAAGCTGGAGAGGTGCTAGGGTTTGGAGGGGCCTGGGGTGCCTGGGGAGGCAAGGAGCAGTGCTGAGGGCGTCCCTGACCAGTAACTCCCACCCGCTCCAGGGGCTGGCTGACCTCAGCAGGGGCTCGGGCCAGCCACATTCCTGGGCGTGGCCTGGTGCTGGTGGGGGGAGCTCAGGAGGGTATCGAGGGCCCCCCCAGACCAGTCCTGTCCCCGGCCCTCGCACCTTCATCTCCCGCACGTTCTTGTCCCTCTTGCGCTCCATGCGCCACAGCTCGGACATGCACTTCTCCAGGTTGGCAGCTCGGTGGCGGTACTCGATCTCGTAGTGCTGGCGGCTGTCCTGGGGGTGGGGGCGGATGGGGGAGGGAGACCCACGTCAAGAGCTCTGGACGCCTGGCCCATGGGTCAGAGCGCTGGACAGGGCAGGCGGCTCGGCTGGGAACGTGTGTGCCCTGGGGCCGGGCACTGCCCAGCGCTGGCCTCGGTGCCATCTGTCAGGCGGGAAGAGGCAGCGGCCAGACTCACTTTGATGAACTGCATGTCCAGCTTGGTGTTCTTCTCCATGTGCTGCAGCAGGTCTCCGTGGAACGTCTGCACCCTGCGCGGAGGGCAGGGGGTGGTCAGGCGGCCCCTCCCCTCTCAGGCCCCAGCATGCCTTGCACTGCCCACGCAGACCCATTGCCCACCCAGTGCTAACACACCAGGCACCTGCCCGGTCATTAGAGAAATGGGCGTAGCAAGAGTGCCTGGCTGGAGGAGGGATTAAATGTTAATCATGAGAAACACTAAGTGTGGCACCTCGTTCAAACACCCTCGATAACTGTGCCAGCGGCCCCTGGTTCTACTCCTGGTTTCAGCCGGTGCTTTGGCGACGCCATTCCCCGTGCCTGGATTCCCCACCAATCTTCCAATGCCTGCCCCCTGACCTCCCGGCGGGGTCGCTGCTCAGTCATTTAGTTCCTGAAAGGTGTGTACATCTGTTCGGTCACTGTCCACTCCTCCAGCCACAGGACAAGATCTCTTCCTGGCCCTCTTCAGCCCTTTTGTATGAGCAGCGAGCACTGTGGGTAGGAACCAAGTCTGACCCATCTCTGCATCCTCGGCACCGTGGGCAGGGCTGGGCCCAGCGGAAAAGAGCTCAGAACGGCTGACGCCTTAGCTGTGGGGGTGGTAGGTTCCCGTGACAGGTGAGGAGAAGGTGGCTGACCACTGGGGGACCGGGAGGCCAGGGGAGGCTTCTGAGCCCAGTCTCCGAGGAGCTAGGTCCTAGTTCTGCTTGTGTCTCCAATTTGCTTTGTGATTTTGGACAAGTTGCTGCCCCTCTCTGGGCCTCAGTTTCCCCACCTGTAATAGTAAAGGCTTGGCAAGGTGCTAAGGTCCAGCCCGATAAACCCGATGAGCTTTGTTTTGGGCCTCGGCGGTCGCCTGGCACATTCGCTTGTGTCCCATCGTGTTCCCGGGGTCACTCTGCATCGTTGGGGCATCAGATCTTCAATCCTTCCAGCTGCCCTGTCTGCCCTGGAGTTCAGGTTGCCCAGGGAGCGGAGAGGAGCATCTCTCACCCGCTGCCACCTCCGCCTCTGGGGACCGTCACCTCTGCTGGCATCCTACCTCCTGCCACAGGTTCTCCCTGCGGTGCTGCGGGGGCTCTGTCCCCCGGGGTACGGCATCGCCCAGAAAAGGAATGCTGGGCATTTCCTTCCAGGATGCAGGAAAACCAGTAAATATAAAAGTTCTGAATTGTAACTTTTCCCCCCACAATTGTTTCTGAAACTTTGGTAATTGCTGGTCTGTAAGGGACTGGCCACACCCTAACCCCCTGAGCTGTGGCTACCAGTGTGTGTTTATGTGTGTGTGTGTGTGTGTGTGTGTGTGTGAGAGTGTGTGTGTGTGAGTGAGTGTGTGTGTGTGTGAGTGTGTGTGTGAGTGTGTGTGTGTGTGTGTGTGAGGGTGTGTGTGTGTGTGTGAGAGTGAGTGGGTGTGAGTGAGGGTGTGAGTGAGGGTGTGAGTGTGTGTGTGTGTGAGAGTTTGAGAGTGAAGGTGTGTGTGTGTGAGTGTGAGTGGGTGTGAGAGTGAGGGTGTGTGTGTGAGTGTGTGTGTGTGTGTGAGAGGGGTGTGTATGTGTATGTGTGTGTGTGTGTGTGTGAGAGTATGTGTGTGTGTGTGTGTATGAGTGTGTGTGTGTGTATGAGTGAGGGTGTGTGTATGTGTGTGTGAGGTATGAGTGAGGGTGTGTGTATGTGTGTGTGTATGAGTGAGCGTGTGTGTATGTGTATGTGTATGAGTGAGGGTGTGTGCATGTGTGTGTGTATGAGTGAGGGTGTGTGCATGTGTGTGTGTATGTGGTGTGGGGCGTGTTAGTGTTATGAGCTGCACTGAGTACACACTTCCCGCCTGTGTGGGCCCTTTTCTGCTGGATCCACAGGAAGTGCAACTTCCCAACCGGCGAGACCTCCCAGCCAGGCGGCGCCCACCGTCCTCCTGGCCCTGCCTCCCCCTGAAGAGACAGGTCGGGATTCCTGCCTGAACAGACTCGTGCTCCCGAACATCCCACATCCTGCTGAACCGCCCAATGGAAGCCACAGGCTTATGGGAGGTGTGGGGCTGGGCAGACGTTCAAAACCCAGACCAGTGTGTAACCAGCGCTAGGAAGGAGGCGACTGGCACCTGGGAGACGAACTTGAAGCACACTGAAGGCCACAGAGAATATCACAGACGCACAAAGCCAACAGAACGGACATGCTGCCCCTCAGCTACTGCAGAGCTGGCCTGCTGAGGAGGTGGAGGAGGAAGTGGGCTGTCTGCGGGGGCCGGGGGGACAGGGGGGCAGAGATGGTTTCAAATGTCCTTATAATACTGACAGCAGACAAACTGGGAGCCTTCTCCCTCCTCCTGATTCTGGTTTCCTCCTCCCTCTCCTCTTGCCTGAAAACACTGCTGGTGAACAAGCCCCCTTCCATCCTATGACGTCACTCCTGCTCCAGTCACATCTGGCTGCGCCACCGCGGCAGGGTGAGTGCACGGAGGGGCTATAAGGCGCCCCATTGCCGCGGCAGACGGGGAGAGGGCACAGCCGAGGCGCCCCCATCAGATGGGCCCGGCACAGGGCAATGGCAAGTCCCCGCACGCTCCTGGAGGAACGGATCTGTGGAGGATGATACTCCACGCGGACTTTGCGCTCTCGCGGCGGGGGAAGCAGACGACTGTCAATAATTGGCAGGTGGCTTTGCAACAAGGAAGTCCCCGCCCAGGCAGGCTGAGGACTCCTAGAGGGTAGGACAGACTTCTCCCCTGCCCCCGCGCTATCAGCGCGTCCTGGAGGCTCCGTGCGGGCAGCTGAGGGCAGCCCTGCTGCTGGGAACATGGCTGCCAGCTCTGTGTGACCCCAGGACCTCTCACAAGACTTCTGCCATCTCCACGGGAGACCCCCTTGAAGGAACTGCCTGAGGGCCGAACCCCCATTTGATCTTGAATCCCCTGCAGTCAGGCTATGCCCTGCCACGCCAACAAAATGCTTTTGTCAAGGTCACGGAGGCTCCACGTTGCTAAGTCAGTTCTCTGGACTCACCCACCTCAGCCAGCCATCACCACTGGACGCGACTGGCCACTTCCCTCCTCCTGAAACACCTGTTCCCCCCAGCCTCCAGCCGGCACCCTCCCCTGTTTCTCTCGCCCCCACCCCTGGCCGCTCCGTCCTTTGCTGAATCCCCCCGTCTCCCTGACCCTTTAACGCTGGGTCGACCCAGAGCTCAGGCCTTGGGCCCTTCCCTTCCTCACTACGCGCCCCCCCCCCCCTCGCCCCATGAGCTCCTGCAGTCCCCATGCTCAGACGGCCATCCCAGCCCCAACCTCACCCCCAAACTACAGTTTCCTGTGTGCGGCTGAGGCGTCCACCTCTCCGATTGTCTTCTGATCATCATCTCACACTTATCTCGTCTAAACTGAGCCCCTGCCTCTCCTCTCCATCCAAACGGCTCCACGTTCAGTTTTTCCACCTCAGCTAATGGCAACTCCACCTTTCCCGCTGGTCAGGTTAAAACCTTGGAGTTACCTAGACTTTCTCCTTTCTTTTGCAACACACATCCAATCCAGCAGGAAACCTCATTGGTTCTACTTTCAATCTGAGGCCTTCTCAACACCACCACTGCTGTATCCCTTTCCCCAGCCCACCTCCCTCTTCTAGATTACTGCAACAGCCTCCTAACTGGTCTTCCGCTTCTGCTTTTGCCCTCCACAGCTATTTTATTCTTTTAAAAATATTTTTTTTATTGATTTCAGAGAGAAAGGGAGAGGGAGAGAGAGATAGAAACATCAATGATGAGAGAGAATCATTGATCGGCTGCCTCCTGCACACCCACTACTGGGGATCTAGTGCACAACCCAGGCATGTACCCGACCAGGAATCAAACTGTGACCTCCTGGTTCATAGGTTATGCTCAACCACTGAGCCGTACCAGCTGGGCACTATTTTATTTTTAGTATAAGAGCCAGAGTGACCCTACTAAAATATAAGTCAAACAATGAACAAGTGGAAAATGATATTTTAAAAGGCCATTTACAAATGACTTCAAAAAACATCAAATACCTAGAAATAAAACTATCAAAAGATGTGCAAGGCTGCTACACTGAAAATGACAAAACATTGCTATGAGAAATAAATAAATAGAGGCATACCATGTTCATGGATCAAAGGACTAGATATTATTAAGATGACCATTGTTTACAGATCAATGAAATCACTATCAAAATCCCAGCAGGCTTTCTTAGAGAAATTGACAAGCTGATTCTCTAATGTATAGGGAAATGCAAAGGATCTTTAATGGAGTGGACAATTTTGAAAAAAAAAAAAGAAAAAATTCTTAGACTACTTGATTTCAAGACTTACTATAACGTTACAGTGATTTATACAGTGTGGTATTGGTATAAGGATAGACAAAGATACTGACGGTCAGAGTAGAGCAGTGATTTTCAATCTTTACCTCATGGCACACATAAACCAATTACTAAAATTCCGCAGCACATCAAAAATATATTTTTTTGCTGATCTAACCAAAAAAGGTATAATTTTGATTCATTCACACAGAATAGCTATTGTTGTGTTCACTGTTGTCATTTTTTTTTTTTATTTGACAATCTAAGGGTGAAAAGGTCAGTGCCCCTGACTAAATAGCCAGGCACTGCACGTTTTAAAAATTATTGTGGCCACACCGGTTGAAAATCAATGGAGAGTTCAGAAATGGACCTAAACATATAGGACAAATCACTTTTTGACCAAGACACCAAGTCAATTGTACAGGGAAAGGGAAGTCTTTTTAAAAAATGGTCTGGAACAACCAAATGTCCGTCCAGGACAAAAGAAACCCTGACTCCCTCTCACTTCATACACAAAAGTACATTTGAGATGGACCACAGACATAAGTGTAAAGCCCAGAACATAACTTCTACAAGGAAACGTAGGAGGCTATCTTTGTGATGGGGGTAGACGAAGATTTCTTGGGGAGGACACAAGCACAGACCATTTTTTAAAACTGCCAAGTTGGGCTTCATAAAAACTTTAAATTTCTGGTCATCAAAGACGCCATTAAGAAAACGAGTGGACGAGCTACAGACTGGGAAGAAACATTCACCGTACATACATCTGACCAAGGACTCATGTCTTGACTCTATTGAAGAACACGAAAAGTCAGCGATAACAGTAACCCAATAAAAAACGGTCAAAAGATTAAATAAACACCCGCAAGAAGATATGCAAATGTCCAGCAAGCTCTTTCGTCACCAGGATATGCAGAATGCAACCACAACGAGGCACACCATTCCACAGCCGTGAGGACGCAGGGTCAGGCAGACTGAGAGCAGGGACGTGGGCACGGACAGAGCGCCAGCAGCCTCCGACCCGCTGGCGGGAGTGCAGATGGTCCGGGACTTCGGAGAACGCTCCGACAGCTTCTTATACAGCTAAGTATGTATCAGCCTGAACGCCTAGGTGTTTACCCAAGAGAAATGGAGATATATACTCACAAAAAGATTTGTACAAGAATGTTCACAGCAGCCCTAATTTTTTTCTTTTTCTTTTTTTAAAATCCTCACCTGAGGATATTTTTCCATTGATTTTTAGAGAGAGTGGAAGAGAGAGGGAAAGACAGAAAGAAATATTGATGGATCGATGGGTTGCCTCCTGCATGCGCCCCGACCAGGGCCCAGACTGGGGAGGAGCCTGCAACTGAGATGCGTGCCCTTGACCAGAATCAAATCAGGGACCCTTCCTTCAGTCCGCAGGCTGACGCGCTGTCCACTGAGCAAACCAGCCAGGGCCACAGCAGCCCCCTTTCTAATAGCCCCAGATGGAAAGCAACCCAAATGACTGTCAACTGAAAAAGAGTAAACAAATCGTGGTATATTCGTACAATGGAAGACGTAGCAATTAAACAAAACAAAGCATCGACGCCTGCAACAGCAGGAGTTAAACTTACAGACCTTATGCCGAGTGAATGAAGCAGAACATAAAGAAATGGCGATTGCACAATTCACACAGACCCACGCCTCCTTGCCTGGGGCTGGGGCTGGGGCCGCTCTTGGGGACGGCAGAGTTGTCGTCTGCTGGACCCCCAGCGCCTACGACAGCGCCTGGCACAAGGCAGCGAGGAGCTGTCCAATGAATGAGCCAGAGAGGGAGGCCGCCTCTGGTGTGTGCTGCCCAGTGTGGTTCTGGCCGAGGGCCCTGCCCGGTTGTCACAGCCAAGACACCGGTGCCCAGAGATGGCAGCTCTTTTTACAGAGCGGGCCTGGGTGACACTGTCCCTGTCCGGCCCAGGGGTGCCACAGTGACACGGAGAGCCATCGAACACAAGGACAGGCGGTCCCGGGCTGCCCGTGGGAGCCGGGCTCCATAACTCCCGCCCAAGCCCGGGGCGGTGCAGGTGCATGGCTGCATCCACCTCAGAGCGCCGGGGAGTCGCCCGGGGGTTTGTGCAGGTGGGTACACAGTTTCTGCTGGTAAAATTGTTTCCCATTTCAACCATCACCAAACTGATGAGTATTTAATGGTGTCCCACAAAGAGCACCCCGAGTTTTAGGGTCCCCCCCACGTGTTTGAGAACCACGGACTGTCACAATCAGTTGAAATTTCCTTCAGAACCTTCTAAGGCCCCTCACCACCGCCCCCACCGCCCCTTTGCCCCAACTCCGGCCTTTGGCTTATGTCTCCCATGGATGCCGCGCTCACGCCCCGCTTGGCCACTGTGCTTCCTGGAATGCCCGATCTCCTCCTCCCCCTCTGGCCAAGCCCCGCGCCCCCTTCACAGCGCATTCTTCCCTCCTAGTCCTGAAGCTCTGCTCAGTGCCAGTCCCCGTGCCAGGCCTCGAGCTGCAGAGAGAAGACCACACCCCAGCAGAGCTCTCAGTCTTGGCAGGGACAGAGGCAGGGAAGACAAATGTCCTTCTAATCATCACAGCTAAGGGACTCGAAGGGCCCCGGTGCCAGGCGAAGGGTGTGTACGTATCCATTTCACTGAATCCTCACAAGACCCTACACGGCAGTTATTGTGATTGTCTCCATTTCACAGACAGATAAACTGAGGCACAGAGAGGTTATGCAAGAGAGCTCACCCCAGGCCACAAAGCCGGTCACTGGTGAGGCTGGGCTTTGAACCCAGTGCTCCTAACTGCCACGCGCTAAGAACAGAGGGGAGCATCTGGTGGGGTCTAGAGGGAGGAGGGACTGAACCTGCCCAGGAGTCAGGGGGGCTTCATGGAGGAGGGGCCACTGTGCTGGATGGCAGGGGTGGGGGCTTCTGTGAGAGGACAGCATCGTAGCAGCCCAGCGGGGGAAGGCTAGCCTGTGGCTGGGGGTGCAGCACTTTGGGGTGGCTGGGCTGTGACTGGGGTGCAGCACTTCGGGGTGGCTGGGCTGTGACTGGGGTGCAGCACTTCGGGGTGGCTGGGCTGTGACTGGGGTGCAGCACTTTGGGGTGGCTGGGCTGTGACTGGGGTGCAGCACTTTGGGGTGGCTGGGCTGTGGCTGGGGGTGCAGCACTTCGGGGTGGCTGGGCTGTGACTGGGGTGCAGCACTTCGGGGTGGCTGGGCTGTGACTGGGGTGCAGCACTTCGGGGTGGCTGGGCTGTGAATGGGGTGCAGCACTTCGGGGTGGCTGGGCTGTGAATGGGGGTGCAGCACTTCGGGGTGGCTGGGCTGTGACTGGGGGTGCAGCACTTCGGGGTGGCTGGGCTGTGAATGGGGTGCAGCACTTTGGGGTGGCTGGGCTGTGACTGGGGTGCAGCACTTTGGGGTGGCTGGGCTGTGACTGGGGGGGTGCCAGCAGGGCCTGCAAGTCCTCTGAGAAGCCTGAGGCAGTTCCGGGGTGGCTGGGTGTGGAGGGTTTTTCTCAGGGGCGGGACAAGGTCAAACTGCAGGCTGCTCCCCGGGAGAGGGAAGGGCGGGCCCCGTCTCCTGGCTCCTCCTCTGACGCTGGAACCTTGGGAGAGTGGCTGCATCTCTGAGACTCAGTTTCCTCCCCTGTGAAGTGGAGACAGAAATGGTCCCTGCTGCCCAGGTGGCTGGAGGCCAGAACAAGACGCTGCAGACCCACGTGCCTGGCAGAGCCTGGCCGTGTCCCTGGGGTCTCAGCAAGTCCTCCCTCAGGCGGATGTGGAGGGTGACCCCTCCCAATACTCACCACCACCTCCAGGTCAGAGTTCAAGTGGCGCTGGGTATCTGACATCTGCACCAAGATCTCACCTAGGAGCCCCAAGAACAGCGGCTCAGCGAGGGATCCCGCCCCGCCCCCTCCTCCCAACAGAGGCTTCCAGAAGGGCCTGCCTGAGGCTGGGCTTCGGGACAAAGTCCCGGGCTTCCCATAGGGCTCTGGGCCCTGCAGGGAGGGGTGGGAGGAGCCTGGGCTGCAGGGCCGTGTCTTTGGGGGACTTCCTGGACAGGCAAGTCTGTAAAAGGAATCCCCTCCGGACGGAGAATGAGGGGCAAGCAGGGCTCGGGGCTGTGAGGCGGCACCGGGAGGCAGGCGGTGCCTGGAGCCTGGACAGCAGGGGAGGCCTGGGGCGGAGAGGGGCCGGGAGGAGCCCCCAAGGCCCCAAATGTGTGCAGAGCAGAGAGAGAGGGGAGCCCCTTACCCAGGATCTGCGAGGTGGAGCTCTGCAGGGCCTGCTCCCCGATCTTCTGAATGGCACTGAAGTACACCTCGGCCGCCTCGGACAGGGCTGCGCGGGAGAAAGAGGGGTCCAGCCCTGTCCCTCCTCCAGCCGCCCCCCTTCTGGGGACCCCTCCTTCCCCCAGAGAGAGTGTGCAGGGGCCCCGGTGGGATCT